TCTGGGTTTTCCTGGTCTTCTATACTCATGTCTTGTGACAAATGTGTATGGTTCGAAGATCACTTTTCTCATGGGGTCGTTATGGTTCGTTCGGAGTATATGGCCCAGCAGTTTAACTTTTCTTTTCTTCCATGTCGTAGAATTTTTTCAATGTCCTTTTGATAAGTTGTTCGTAAAATATCTAATACTTTCTGGTTGGTGTACGTGCGATCTATATGAGTCGGAGGGATTTTGAGAATGCGTCTTATTCCCTTCATCTGGAATGAATTTATTTTAGATACGTCCGATGCAGTAAGCTGTATGCATTCTAACCCATAAAGTATCTTACTTTTCAATATAGACTCGAAGACTCTGATTTTCCATTGTATTGTATTTTGCGCCTTGTTCCAAAACAACTTAAGCCTGTTACATGTTGAAAGTGCATCCGCTATTCTGTTTTGAACCTCTCTGTGGTTGTTTACATCATCCGTTAATAAAGTTCCTAAGTATATCGCATGATGTTTACGCGGAACAAGTGTGCCGTCAATGTACTTTATGCTGGATTGTTTTTGGTTAAGAGTAAGGTTGATACATTTGTCGTAGTTTAGTCGCATGTTGTAATAATCGGATTCTGATTGTATTTCATGCAACAGTTCGTTGATGGTGTGAGTGTGGGTGCCAAAGACTAGAGTATCGTCAGCATATACTATCTCGGCAAATCGCATGCCTTTTATTGGTTCTTGCTGCTTCGGCGTATTCAGTTTTGTCTTTATGTCACGGAACATGGCAGACATTAGAATGGTAAACAGATACGGTGATAAAGGACATCCTTGTCTTATGCCAGAATGTTGTCTCCTATTTGCGGAATAACTTCCTTCTGCTCGTATCCTAAACTGAGGATCTTCATACATCTGTTCCACAAGTTTCAGCATTTTTGGTGGGGTTTTGATCCTGCGTAGAACCTGTAGCAACTTAGACTGACTTACTTTGTCAAACGCCTTTTCCCAATCTAATAAAATAATCGAGATATTAGAGTGTTGACGTTCTGCCATATCTAACAAACGTCGTGCCAAGAAAATAGCTTGTGCTGTTGATTTGCCAGGTCTAAAACCGTATTGAGTTTGCGTTATCCAACGATCATAAGCAGCTACGAACCTTCCGCGGAGTAAACCTGCAAGGAGTTTATAAAAGACTTGTAGCAGTGCAATCGGTCTATAGTTTTGCATGCGAGTGGCGTCTCCTTTTTTATAAATAGCTGCAATGTTGGCGTGCTTAAAGGAATCCGGGTATTGCTCAGAGGTGATAATGTGATTGTAGAACCTTAGCAGGGAGAGCCTGTTAGCTTCATCAGGCCATTTTACCAATTCTGCTCCGCATCCATCTGGACCTGGTGCTTTGTTGTTTTTCTGTGCGTTAATAACAACATCTAATTCCTGCATGTTGAACAAATACGCTTGCATGATGGACTCACCTTCTATTAGGAAATTAGTTTCTTTGGAGAGATCTAGATCATCATTCTGCGGTTGTGCCCATTGTACTTCAGCAAAATATTTCGCTGCAGCTTCTGCAAAGTCTTTTTCTTTGATGAAATTGCCGTCCTTGTCGCGGTATTTTATACGTTTTGGTTGAAATGTTTTCCTTGCTTTTTTTAATCCATCCCATCTGTATCCATCTCGATCTATTTCTTCCAGCTCCTGTAGCAAGGATTTTTCCTTATCTATTCTGGCATGCTTTCGAATCTCTTTTTTGAGTGATTTAGCTTTTTCAACTTCTCCATTTTCAAGAGCGGTCTGCTTTTCTTCGATGAGTTGCCATGCCTTTTCTGTGAGGTAGTGTTTCTTCATGGATACAGGAATCTTTGTTAAACATTTGTCTGCTGCTTTTTGTAAAATATCCGAAAAACTTTCAAACGCTAGAGCGGGGTCCCAGGTTGGGTTGGCTATCTCATCTTGTAATTGTCTTTGGACTTCTGAGTTGTAATTGGCTTGTTGTACGTTATTCGGTTGTCGATATTTGTTTGGCTGTTGCTTTAATCTCCAAGCTTTCTTTTTAGTTGCGAACTTCACTTTGAGATCTGCAATGATCAAGGCGTGATCGGAATCTAATAAGGTGGTCTGTATACTGTCAACATTTTGTATTGAGTTTTTCCATGTGTCGTTGATCATGATATAATCCATCTGCGCGTGAGTATCGGTATTGATATTGTGATTGCTGAACTGTTGGGTTGTTGGTCCTCTGTAGGTAGCGAGTTTATGAATGGGTTTTTCAAACCATGTGTTCATTACGATGAAGTCATGTGTCAAGGCAAATTCAGTAAAAAGTTGGCGATTGTGCTTCTGAGTTTCACTTAGTTGCTCGATGTTAGACGCATCGTTTCTGTAAATGTGCTTTCCAATGCTACGATTTTCTCCCGGTAGTTGTCTTAAAATCCCCCATAACAATGTTGATATCATGACGCTTCCACTCCGAAATTTGTTGAGTAAGACATTCGCAAATCTAAGTTAGGGAAATGCACGCAGACTCACAAGGCCGCAGCTACGCCCATAAGAGCGTTCTTCGCCTGCTGGTGTCGTCCCAGACCTCTTCAAGAGCCAATCGTGCCCGGGGGCTTCAATGTCTCTCCCATGAGACATGTAATGATCAAGAAAATGACTACAGCAAAGGTGCCAGGATGTGCCATGTTCACACAGGCTCGCTTCAATTCACTGAGACATGAACCAGCAAAGCAAGTCGCAAGCGCAAAGCGCACCTACAAGTTGTGTGTCACGGTTCTAGAAGCCGACAAACAGCTTATCCAAAAGCACTACTTAGTCCCCAGCCTCTTTGATTACCTTCAACTGTTGCCCTCCTTGTGGGGCGTGCGGAGCTGCACGCTGCAGCACTTTTCTGAAACATTCCAAAGCCTCATCGGCAATAGAGACGCACGGTCACACAATTACTCCTAACTTCGATACTTTGCCATCTCCACGCAACAAGCCTGCTTCCAGTCGCGGCGGCTGGCCCTGACACAAGCCTTTCCCATGAGAGCACGAGGAGACGACCTCAACAAAGGCTCAAGCGCTTCAAATGCGGTACGAGGAACTGCTGCAGAACGATCCTGCATGTTTTGGTTCTTAACCCACAATCAGTGAGCTTCTGCGAAAGTCTCGTGCGACAGCAGCTTCCAGCACCCGAGACGAATCCAGGACCGGAACCTTTTGAGCTTCAAAGCGGCATCGAAAAGATTTTCCTGCCGTTGGCCGCTGGGCAGCATCAAGACAGCAGGCTATGCTTTCACAAGGCGCACTGCTCGCACCAAGTAATTTCCAATCTCCGGCTTTTGAGCCTAGTTTGAACACTGTCGAGAAAATCAGACAACACAAGACGACCAGCTTGAAAACTGAGCATGTGACAAGGATGTGCCGTGCCAAGCACTGGTACCCTTCCAAGGTGAGGAAGTCCTGCAACAAGCGTGACAACGCTCCGAGTTTGTGTACTAGTAGCACTTCAGCGATTCGGTCCGGATTCGTTGGCAGAGAGCCACGTCTGCTCTGGGCCTCCACAACCCCAAAGACGCCGCCCCAAGCGAGAAAGCGGTGGGGCAACTCATGCTGTGCACGAAGTCGTTGAGGGCTCACGAATGATTGCATGACCCGAACATCTCTTTGAGAGGGAGTGCACCTCGTCTAGAAGAGATGTGGCATGCTGAAGGCATGCCTGCGCAGCACTCGTTCAGGTTTCATTTTGCCAACTCCCCTATGTCAACGACATGTCCGCTTCTACCAAACACGGTGCCTCAACCTCCTGGTCGAGGGCGGATGACCGGGCTACTTTTGCCATCTTGGCGCGCAGCGGATTCGTGATTATTCTTGAGGCCTTCGTTTTGAGTCCAATGTTCATGGTACAAGCCCACGGAGGGAGGATACGGACAGCGTGTGAACATGCAGGATTGGGCGTTAAGCACCACCCTAAGTCCAAGCAAATCGAAGCACTAAGCCGCTGGAATTTAACTCTTCGGTCAGCACCATACCTGCCTACGAACTTGAACCCAGCTTTCGGCATGCACTTAGGTTGGCAAGACCGCAGTGGGGTTCAAAGTTTAGGCGTTGGGCTACAGGTTTCAAGTTGGGGGTGTTTGGTTATGGGTTTGGGGACGTTTCAGGCTTACAGTTACACGGACGGTTGTTGATTCGCATCTGGGTCGCAGGCACTCGCAGAACTATGCCCTTAACCCAGAGCCTTCAGACCCGAAACCCGCTACTGCAAGCCCCCAACGACCTGAGTTGCAGGCCCCAATACGCCCCAAAGTACAGGCAGAACGAAATATGTCGAGCAATTGGAGTGTTGACAGTAGTGGCTCTTGGGGTTTGGAGTTTAAGATTTAAAGTTTGGGTTCGCAAGAAGTTTAAACTAACTACCAGGCCCTATACGCTGGCTGTTACCCCGAATGCGCCCAAACCCTAATCCCGTAGGCCAGGGGGTTGCCTGACAAAGCAAGGATGGACACAACGCCGCAAGAGCCATGAAGCATCATACGCAGGAAGAGCGATACTTACAGCAATTGACGGCAATACATTGGAGAAGGAAGGCGTCAGGCGCAAAGCAGCGGGACAGTTGTCTGGCGACGTCGGGTGCAGAGGGTGCGTTGTGGTGCATTCTTCCCAAACTCGTGTGCCGGCGCAAGGAGACCGAAGAAAACAGGCAAGAACTGCCGGTTGGCAAATAAAACTCTACATAAGAAGACAAGCAGACCGAAACATGGCACGCCCAGAAAGCCTTTTGCAAATTCGGGCGTGCATTGGGAAGCATTTGCATATTGTAGAGGCGCTAGGCTTCGTAAGCACTTGCGCACAGCACGTCTTTGTACATACAGGTACATTGTGAACACATACTCACAAGTTCTTGCCGCGCCCGTCACCTGCAGCCCTCGCTGCAACTGACCACGACAGCTTACGCAGAATTTGTGCTCGAAGCCGGCTCATCGAGCTTCTGCGCAGTCGCACCACTGTCCCCGCACATCCAGGTCACCGCATGTGCGGTGGGTAGCCGGCTGTCCTCGACCAGAGCTGGTTGCACAAAGCCAAACTGGTAGCCCTATTTCTTGAAAACAATCACTTAAAGAAAGTGAACCGAAATGAACCGAACACCACCTGTCCAGACTCCAAGCTGCAGCACTGCATCAGAATCATAAACAGCTACTCTTCCACCCAAGTTTGGTTGCAGCAAAGCATAGCCAAGCTTCGCCGGGTGCGACTGGAAGGCTGGTGGGCCTGCACAAACTTAGCAATTTGACGGGATGTGGGGGAGTCGATCTGCTGCTGGCTGTGCAACGAGCTGGGTTTTGGTGTTATGCCGTTGTAAGCCACGTAGCAACTGTGCTCATCCCTTCCAGAAAACAGTCTAGCTCAGGAGTTCTACTCGTTTCGGTGAGCTACCTCAGCTCGGATTCATGTGGAATGGGAAACGTACAAATCCCTTGCGAGTCCGAGTATGTTGCAGTCGGTTTTCAACTCCTTGGAAGTCTAGCAGCTTTGCCACGAATCTCATTTCTCTTCGTCCAATCTTCCAGGGAAGTTTGACTAGATTGGATTTCTCAACAAGGTTCTTTGATCTCGTCCTGAACGCACAATCTTTGATCCAGAATCTGCCTTCAAGCCTGTTGTCCACACGGCTGGTCACGCGACACTCAGGGGAGTCCTTAAGCAACGGTCCCGCTAGAAATTGCCTCGTTCTTCGGTTTGCGATTGCTGAGGCATAGGCCAGGCATGGTCTGGATATGTTTGAATTAGTTGAACAGTGCTGGTTGTACTTAGAATGACGACAAGGCCATGCTGAGTGAAACCTTGGTGCCACCTTCGCTTCAAAATGCGAAAACATGATGTTGCCTGCACACAAGCCTCCGATAGAGGCTGGAGTGTCAAGCCACATACTCGTTTCAAGACACTTCCTCAGACTCGCTTATTTCCTCTTGCTTCCATGTAGTTCCCAGGCAGGTGCCTTGTGGCACTTGCTGCTGCGGCAGTGCAGGCTGCGATTGCATGTGGCCTGTCGAGCTCAGAGGAAGACCTTTGCAGACACTACGATCGCAGCTGATGAGCCCCGCCGCCTTCCTGATGGCTCCTGGAAGCCTGGCCAGGATTACACAGCTTGATTGTGATGTTCGCACACCTTCCGACCTGTTCGGACATCCCAGAGACAAAGATGCGATGTCAGACGGACGACAAGTCGGAACCGACCACACTCCAGAAGGCCAAGAAGACTGGACCTTCTTTTGAGTGGTATGTAGGTGTTCTGTGCAGGCAAAACTGACGGGTGGATCGCTGCATGCTTCGTGCTGCACGGAGCAACTCTGTCTTGCTTCGGGCTTAAAGTCTTCGGAGCTTGAGACGGAATGGGCCAAGTTCGGTTCAGATCCCTCTTTCGAAGATCAAAAGCTTTAGGCTGTAGAAGCCTCAAGAAAACAATTTCACGTGCAAACCAACGATTGATCTAAGCCCGCAGCGGCAGCAGCAGCAAACAAAAGAGACACAGAGAGAGAGAGAGGGAGAGAGGGAGAGCGAGGGAGGGAGGGAGAGGGACCGAGAGCACTCGCGAGCCTGGTGCTCACCTCCACCCAGCGACGACCAGCCACCGAACGTGTGCTGACCCTGCTTCAGCCACGTGGACACGAACATCTCGGGCCTGCACGCTGCATGGAACATCAAAAGCATCGACTCACTAAATGCAGGTACTCTAAAATCAAAAATCGCCTTGCTCTGCCGTGATAGCCATAAGAAGGCTTCTTCACGGAGTCGATGACTTCTTTACCTCCGATCTGAAGTAAATGCTGGACTGAAGGACCGAAATCCAAACGGTGAGGACAAGCTGCCGATCATTTCCTGGATTTCTTCCGGCACAAACCTGGAAGCTTGGGAACCGTAACAATGTGGAATAACACAAAGAGCCGCGTTCCCAGCTTGTGAATCGTCTTCTTGTTGGCTTTGCGGTTGTATGCAAAGCAGTAGAGGAGGGAGTCAGCCTGCAGGAGATATCGGTGATAAGCATCAATCCTCCGACAGTCCCGGGGTCATCCGACACCCTGCTCCAGATACTATGGCCCTGGCCAGATGGTCATACAACGCACAAAAGTCGTACCTGCAGGTGCGCACATGCCTGATAGCAGGGATCAAAATCAACGCTACGGCTTCAACCGGAATGCGGCACGCTATGGAGCCACATAGGAAGAAAGCCACAGCAGACACCATCTCGGTAGCTGACTGCAGATTGAAACGCACGTGCATACAAGCCGATGATAAAGAACGAAGGACCTGTAAGGATCGGACAACTGGATCCTGGATGAAAGAAGACTTCGCCGGGTCATTGATCCCTGCGTGCTTTGTTTTATCATCAAAGTTTGCATCACGGCACAGTAAACGGAAAAGAAACCCATGCCCAGAACCTGAATGATTCATGATGAGGTAGGATGTCAGAAAACCAACCTGATCACAAGGGCAGGACGACGCGTGCCCCGTCTTTGCTGCAGCTGGCATCTGCATCGACACCATCAGTTGGAATGCTCTTGAGGGTCACACCACAGCAATGGCCACCACTCCAATGAATGTACTTGGGCGGCATTTGCCCGTGTACCTGAGCATAAGCTAACAGAATCGAACAACTTGCCACAGGCTGCTGGCGCGATGATGGTCACTTCTTGACCTGCGCTTGATCTCTAATTATCTTCTGCGCTTTCTCCTTGGCCTGCCAACGTCATGCCGCACGACACATTGTAAAGTTTATCTCCTGGTGCACCCCATTTTGCTTTGTTAACGACAATATTTCTAAGGGTTGCCTGCTATCTAAACTTCTAAACCTTACGAGGTACTGTGCCCAATATCATGAGAGACGAGGAACAGGGGCAGCACATGACCCGATGGACATGTCAACCACTGCGCACGGCAACTGCGTGGGGGTGAACGTGTCACTGTGCTTCGGAACGGTCCCATGGTAGACCTGCAAGCCTCTGGCAGTGCTGCCCTCCACGCTTAACTGCTCCGTGCAGTGCCC